CCCCCCCCCCCCCCCCCGTTTTCAATAATAAAATCGTGCACACAACATCGTTTTCAAAAATGTTGTTTTTTCATTTACATGAACCCAGATAAATACACCGTTGAGCGCCATCATAACTATGCCAAACCTATGGGCGACAGTGTAGGGAGAAGGATGAAGCCATGCAAGCCAATCGGAATCCTCAGAATCGACAACAACAACAACAACAACAACAACAACGACGAATAAGGCGCAACTTCCTGTTCCTTTCAAAACAGTAAACATGGCAAGAGGTTCGTTTGTGTGGACTGACAGTGAAGTGGAGCTACTCCTAAATGTCGCTTTAAACGCCGGATTTCCACTGGATGCGTGTCCGCTGCGGAACGGCAGCGCTGGTTATCCGCTGCGTGCTCCGCCATCCGTCAATACCCACCGGCTGCGTTTGGGAAGACATCTCGGTGCACTGCCATGATTAACATCTCCTCGTCCATGGTGTTCACGGGGTGAAATGACGTCTGAAAACCTCTGACCTGTTGACTTCAGGCCTGCCTCTGCCCATTATGTAGTTTTCAAGGTGTAGTGCAGGGAAATATGATCCGCCGTGAACACTGTGTATTTTATTTTGAAAATTAACCGGATGTTTTATTTTGTTTGTGTGCTCGACTTCCTGCCCCGCACGATCTGCTCTGTGCTGAATTGCTGCGTTGTGCTCCGGCGTCCGGCAAAAATAGTAGTCCTGCGTATCTGTTGCTCCGGAGCGCCGCAGCTGAGACGGAGCCGGAACGCAGCACAGCCGCAGCCGGTGGAAACACACACATTGACTGGAATTGAATCCTATCGGCTCCGCTGCCGTGCCGGAGCAGAGACGCAACCAACACGCATCTGGTGGAAAAAGGCCGTAACAAAGCGTTTGCACAAACGTAAAAATGAGTACTACCACCTTAACAGCATCCATGATCAGTAGCCAAACAAAGTGTAAACATAGGTCGCTCACATGACGTCAAGCATTTGCTGGCGCATGCTGTGACGTTTCAGAACCTAAAACCCCGTCGCACCCAGTTTAGACGGCAACACATTTTCAGAAATCTCCACTTTGGCCGGAGTTTTTACAAATGATCGTTTTCCGTGAAAAAAACTCCGTTTCCGTGTAAACAAGAGGCCAAACCGCGTGCGTTTTTCCTACGTGTAAACGGGGTATCAGACTTGACTGAACTAACTCAAATCAGCTGTTCTGGAACCGGTAACTCAGAGTTTCCCATCTCAGGGTAAATCAACTCAGAGTCTGTTGAACCTCCTACCTGGAATACCCCTCTGATGTCTGAAAACGTCTCACTGTTCCACCTCCTCCTGTTTGATTATGATCATTATTATTATTAAAACAGATGTTATATTCATATAAACACTGAGTAATTGTGAGTAATCAGTGTGGCTCCTGCAGGTTGTTTCCTGGACGCAGATGAACTTAAACCAAACGTTAATTTAATTTTGTCCTTTGTCAGAAACATTTGAGTTTTAAACCTCTGTGACTTGACAGATTTGAAAGTAGAAACAAACTCTCCAACAGACCAAAGATCTCTGATGATTCCTGCAGGTCTGCTCTGTTTGTTAACCTGCTGCTTAATAATAACTTATGAGCCTCCCCTGGCAAAGCTTCACTTGTGCTTATTTGTATTCTATATATTCGTTCACTATTATATATATCTATCTTTGTAAGTCACATCTGAACTGTAAACCACTTTTTGCAATAAAGATGACTTAACAAAAAAAAAACAAAAAACCTGCTGCTTCCGATTTAACCGGCTCACTAAACCGGATGTAGAGTAAACACAGGTGTCAAAGGTCAACCATGTCCGAGCCGAATCTCACAGAAACACACTGTAAATAGTTCTTCACCTGTTTTTATCATGTTTGTTCAGTTCACAGCGAGTTTTAGAAAGAAATCTTTAAACCGCCGGATTTTAAACGGAGTTTGGCGGGACGGCTCCTCCGGGTTCTCTGAGGAGAAACACGGAGTGTTAAAGTTTAATATGAGTCATAAAGTGTGACGTATCACAGCAGCACCTGCGGACAGGTGTCAGAACACTCACACTGACATCAGCTTCATGTTAGCCTCAGTTTACCTGCAGGACGTCGACGGACGCTCAGGTGAGCTCACCTGCGCGTTAAAGTGTTTCTGTTTTCAAGAATAAAGGTACTCACAGTGCTGTCTGTCCTCTGTGTCTCTGATCATTCTGTTCACACACACATCACTTCTTCTACAGGTTATTCCGGTATTCTACCTGTTGTTGACCTGCCCAGGTGAATCAGGAAGCAGCTGTGACGTCAGCGTCACCGGGAAACGGGCGGGAGGAGGGGGAGGAAGAGGGGAGGAGGGGGGGAGGGGGAAGACGGGGAGGACGGAGGAGGAGACTTTTTTCTTAGCCTGTAACTTCAGTATTGACAAAATGTCACCCTTTCACCGCCAGGCCTTCCTCTCATGGTCTCTCATTTTCAAACATAACTTTTCAGCCCATAAATATTATCTATGGAACATAGTGTTTTTACTGAACACTGGTTTAATAATAACATTGTGTATGCAGCTCAGTTATTTAACAGGGACGTCTTCTCTACTCTTATAATGAGTTTCTAGCAGAATACAATGTTCTTGTGTCACCTGGAGACTTTGAAAAAGTCTTCTGGTGTTTGCATGTTGTTTAGATCTCAACCACCAGTGTAAACCCAACAACTATCCCTGTTATCCTTGACTGACACTCCAACTGGTAGAATCTGTCTGTCCTGTGCCCATGGTGAAAACAATAAATTGATTAGATTCTTGTCATTACAGTTCTGTATGCGGTCTCACACTGGAATAAATACATGGTGGAAAAAGGTCTGGCTCCTTCCCAGCGATACCTGTTGACCAACAAAGTTAGAGGAATTTCTTTTAAAATAATTCATAGATTTTATCTATCTAATGATCACATTGTTAAATCCATGTGAAATGCACTTTCTGTTCTGTAAATATTGAAACTGTTACTCATTTATTTTGGCACTGCCCCACTGTCAAAAGCCTCTGGAGTGATGTTTGTAATTTTATTGCTGACAATATTGAAAAAGAATTGAAGCTGTTTGAACTCTTTGACTGAAAAAACAGAAATGCGGCAAAACCCAATGAAACATTTGTTATTAATCTCATCATCAAGATTTCACATTCACACATGTAAGTTTACACATAGAAAACCTTTCTACAGTGAGGTCAAGCAGTACATCGACTCCATTAAATTTTCCCTTAATCAAAAGACAATCATTAATATTTGTGATAATTTTAATATTTTCTTGTAAACTCTTATCCCACCTGGCATATGTGATATATGACATATGTGTGTAATGTTTTGCATTCTGTTAACTTCCTGTGTGTTAAATAAAGTTTTGAAAGAAAAAAAGGAGGAGGAGGAGGAGGAAGATGTTTGTACCTGGACATTCAGTACGGAGGCCTGTTGGGTCAAAATTACCTCCTGTTTAATGATTCAGTTTTACTGATATCGACCAATGAACAGTTGTGATGTCATCATAATGTTAAAATCTGAAATTTAGAAACTAAAGTCGAAACAATATAGTTTGAAATAATAAAGTTTTACTGCTGAAATATTACAAATATTATTATTTATTTTATTTTTTGTCATCTCGTGACTTTATTCAACTGTTGTTATTTTCTGTCTTCACCTGTGAGGTGATCCTGAGCGTCTTCAAAGGTGCCGATTATTACTATACGATATTACTTACTTTTTTTTTAAGTTTTGATACCCTATGAGCTCTTTACCCTGTGTGCTGCTATCCAATGCTGCTGGAATCTTAATTTCCCTGAGGGAGTCTTCCCAAGGGATTAATAAAGTTCTGTCTAATCTAATGAATAAATTAGTTTGTTTTTTTTTATAAAACTTTTTTTTTCTTAAATAAAGTATGACTTTTGTTCTCAAAGTATTTCAGCTTTCCTGTTCAAATATTAAATTATTCCAAAATATTCCAATATATTTTGCAACTATTCTCAATATTGTGACTTACACCTTGAAATTTTGGGACTTTTTAATATAAAAATATTTGACACGAGGGCCTGAAACAAAATGTAATTTGGACAAAAAGCTGTCAACATCCTGAATATGAACCTTTTTTCATGTTTTATCTTATCATGTTTTTTTTCCAGATAAAAGCAGAACCTTGTTTGGTCTCTGTGATTTTTGAAGGAAAAATATAAACTATTTAATTGAACACAGCAGATTTATGATCATTAAATATCTAACAGATGAATCTGAGTTTGAACTTTGAGCATAAAGACGAGCAGCGACAGCGTGACGTTTGAACACATCTGTTTAATGTTTGTTAACACACCTGTCAGACTGAAACACCACAGGATGCAGCTCTGTCATGTGACACAGTCCTGTCATGTGACACAGTCCTGTCATGTGACACAGTCAGATCAGCTGACGACTCACCTGGCGCCTGGCGAACAGGTGAGGCTGCTGGCAGTGTGTCCAGCTCACTGACGTGACCTTGAAAACTACTTCTCCTCCGACCTGTTTCCATCAGGCTGCTGCACTGAGTCACTCCTGGGTCACAGCTGAATCACACCTGGAGTGATGTGACCTCACCTGGTCTCAGGTGGTCTCAGCTGGTCTAAGCTCAGTGAAACAGTCTGATGGATCAGGGTCCAGAGAGGAACAACAGGAATGTGGTTCGACTGTACGGAAGTTCGTTCATGACACAACGACCGACTCAAAGCGTTTGATGAGATCTGAGAACGGGACTGCTGATCAGTTCAAACACCTTCAAAAGGTGTTTGAACTCAGATGCAGGTGCACAGTGAGTCCTGCTGGATCAGCTGATCTGATGTGGATCAGCTGATCTGATGTGGATCAGATCAGCTGATCCACATCAGATCAGCTATTTCGGGAAACCTGAACGACGAAGGTTAAAAATGAAGCTTTGTGTTTATTGTCTGGGAACGAGTTTTGGTCTGCTGTGACAGGAAGTTACGACGTTCGTTTCTACATCGTTCACACCAGTTCAGGTCACAGGTGCAGACAAGTTACCGTCTGTCTGCACATGTCAGCGTGTCATTTGCACGAGTTAGTACAGTGTGCAAACAAACTATAAAATCCAAGGTGTGCTGAGGATCAAAGGACGTCTCATTTATAAAACAATACGTAAGATCCAGACTGAAAATGTACCTACGGACAGAAGCCAAAAATAGCGTGCACCAAAAAATATTCGCCAGTTTCTACAATCAGGCTCCACCTCACCATCTGCGTCGCCAACTTCCTGTCTCCAAACTGCTGGTTAGCACGGGTCAAAGTTTGTCCCGCCAGGTCTGTTTATAGACATCACAACTTTAATGTGTTAAGTGGCGTACGCATCTTTCAGGCCCCTTAACGTTTATAAATGAGAGCCCAGGTGAGTGACCCCACTCTGAGTCGTAGTTTTGTCATGAGCGAGCGTCAGCAGGTCGCCGGGTCGTCTGCTGGATACTCACTGAAGATCTAGAAAAGACACAAAGTCTAGAAAACACTGAAGGAAACATTCAGGAGAAGTTAGTGAAGCTGCAGAGTCTGAATCAGGACGCCGCCACGCTGCAGGAGTTCGTGTTTGTGTTTGGCGTGTGACGAGTTTCGGACACACCTCAAGTCGTTAGCACCATGTGATCCTGTAGGCGAGGCCAAGTCGTTACAGCTTGACTGACAGGTGCTAGGTCCAATCATAAAGTCTCCAGCCGGTGAAGAGTTCTGTGAAGGATGTGTTGGGGCTGTCGCCGGGCAGATCTTTGAGCAATCACAGATAAAACATTTTCTATATATTCATAATGCTTTCTATTCATCAATGCACACTGTCACTGTCACCATCTTCTTTTCCATTAAAATATATCTTCAGCAAACGCAAAACAAAAAACAGGATGTTTCATGATGGTTTTTTTTTTCTCTGGGATGGTGGATGGATTTATGGCACTGTGACATGAATCACTCTTCGCTGACTCTGAACTCGATGTGGAACAACTCTTCACTGTTATAACATCTTTAGCAGCATGCTAACATTAACTGGAACATCACGAGTAGCTAAAGCTTCAAACTGAGTCAAACATGCTGAAGAGCAGCAGAAAGCAGAGACGAACACATCCTCTCACACCTAAACCAGATCACAGAGAAACCAGCAGAGACAGGAAACCACCCGTTCATGTTTATTCTCCCTTTATGTACCAACAGATCTTCCATGTGTCCTTTATGATGTCATACACATAGCCAATAGATGGCACCAGAGGGCGGAGTCAAATGTTTCAGATAAGAACAAACGAGGCGATGGTGGAGGAGGTTGTAATATTTGACCTTTAAATAGAGGAAGTGTTGTAGATGGCGGTGGACTGTGAGGTCATTAAATACATCCTGACATGAGGACGCAGAATTCTTTTCACTATGTCACCAATTCGTCCGCTGTTATTTAAAATGTCTTTGTCGTCTCATTTGGTCATATCTCACCTGAACAACTCTACACTGCCTCCATGATCGCTGGTGGTTCTGCTACGTTTCTTCCGAATCTGTAAGCTTTCAGAAAACGTGCTTAACGTTTGATACTGACATCAACACCACTACGGACCTCAGAGAAAAACACTGGGCTGACAGGATAATGACAGGACGAGCAGCAAGACTTCATCTCACGAACATGACGAGATGACGGTAAACATGTCGATATACGTATCACTGAAGTATAACCGAAGTGACGTTCAGATTCAGCCACAGAGACTATTGCATCAACCGATCATTCTGATCTCCAACAGATGTTACCAACATGTGACAAAGCACTGAGCGACCAGTGACCAGGTCTGCACCAATCACCACACAGCACGGCAGGACCAGCCAATCACAGCACATTAGGGCGGGACTTGCTGGAAAAACAACATCTGAGCGACAGGCGGATGCAAACAGACAACAGCTCACAGGGACGAGCTCTGATATTAAACTCTGATAGATCCTATCGTGAGTTCGGCAAACACGTCTTTGTTCAGTGCAGTCGATCGTTTGTCTTTTAGTGAAGGTCGACCGCACTGACGCTCGAGGTGAGGTGGTATCTGTTTTATTTTAGTGGGGCATACAGTAGGGTGGGAAACACCAGAGGCCCCACGATATGTTATTATCACAACATTTAAGTCACAATACAATTTTATTGCGATTTTAAATGTTTTGTGATATGTCGAGTATTGCGATGATAATGTGACTTATTACTCTTTTTTCAAGCACAAATTTTTTCCCCAACAGGAAACTCTGTCAACATCTGCTTTCATATTTGCAATATTAATAATTTATATGATAAAAAAATTGATACTTGGCATCTCTGTATCAATACAATATTGCCACACAAAGTATTATGACACAATGACATATCAATTTTATCCCCCACCCCATCGTTTAGGGTACATGACAGTGTCTGTGTGCAGGAGCTCTCCAGTGTAATAAGAAATATAAACTCACAACAACATGTTAATAAAGGTAATATTCTGACACCTATTGTCCTTATTAAAGATAAAGATACAACTGTACATCCTCTTAATTTAAATTTCTCTCTGTCACCAAACTGAGACAGACGATAGCTCAAACTGGCTCAGTCTTTCCACCGTTCCAACAATCACAGACTCCTGTTTGGTCAAAATAAACCCCTCATTTACCGAGTTGTTTCTCCCCACAGTCTCTTTCTGCTGTCAGTTGTTTACAGTCCTGTAACGTTATCCCCACCTCTCACAGTCACCATGATGATCAGCTGATCTGCCTGCTCCACCAGTACTGCCTGACCTCTGGCAGCACGTGCTGTGAACTACATACAAAACATCCTCATCACAGCTCGTCTGTCTGAGTTAAACAGAGAGATAAGTGTCTGTATTTTTGGAAATCATACTGTTGGTACTTTTAAATATCCTGGTGTACCAGTATACCGTGACTCCGCTCGACCCTACGCCACAGCAGCTTCACATCAGCTGCAGCCATCTTGTTTTTTTTCCTTTATTGAATTTCAGAATGCCTCAATGGCACTTTTCTTTACAGTCTCCGTCTCTAACACCCAGTATTAGATAAACAGTTGTGACTGGCCCGGCTCGTCTCAGCCTGATGGTCATTTGTCCAAAGGGGAGGAGGACCAGACCACAGACTATAAATAATGGATGTAACCACTGTGATGTCTCTCATTGGTTCATGGACTCCCATTTTACAGCCTGGAGTTTGGTGTTTCAGCCGTCGCCATCTTGGTTTTTTGAAGCCAGAAGTGACCATATTTGGACGAGAGGGTGGATCTGACAGAGAAGCTGAAGACAATATCAGCAGACAGCCTGTCACTCAAAGAGGCCCCACCCCCATAATTATGTATAACTTTAAGCCTGAATAAGATGTAAACTGCAGAAATAGAGTTCTATAAAAGTTGTCCTGAAAGTCCTGAATGTTGAAATGATCTACAGAGACCAAACAGGCTGTAAACATGTTTATTTCTGCATGTTAACATGGAGGTCTGTGGAGACTGATTTCCTCTGGGAGACAGCCTCTAGTGGACATTGGAGGAACTGCACATTTTGGCACTTGAGTTTTGGCTTCACCTCACTGCTAATGAGGAATGCTAAGAATGGAGTTGTTTTCTGAGGTGTAATGGACATAATGGCCTGAGGGACACTAATGAGGCGGTCACTGTTGTATTAGTAATATGTCATCTGCAGCTCTGTGCTGCGGTGCACCCCAGGGCTCCATCCTGGGTCCCATTTTTTTTTTTTTTGTGCGTGATAAACACGGCAGCCTCTAGGGGGAGCTGATGTGTAGATTTTAGCTTTCGTCCCTGGTTGTGATGAACGGCTGGTTTCCCGTCTCTGCATCGTTATTAATATATTTTACCTCCTCTATAGCGTTCTGCCCACAAACTGATGGATGCAACATATCAGCAATGAAAGAACTTGATATCAAAGCGATGCATGAGAGCTAAGTTTTTTTTTGTTGCCACCGATACATGAACACACAAGTGAGCAGCTACGCTAAGCAACGTCTCCACAGAGAAACAAGCGCTGGCTCAAAATCTACAGCGAGCTCAAACACAAGAGGAATACAACCATAGAACAGTAGTTTGGTCTTTTTTGATCAAAATAAAAATATTTAAAGTATACTTTCATATATAAGCAATAAAAAATAAGTAACATCTCAATACTCCAATAATAACTCTGACATTAATATTGTGCTCATTGGGATTCTATCTCTTTACAGATATTTATATTCATTCGTATAGATATTTATATATATTTTTTTCTGTTTTGCGTCCCTTTGTCTTAGGAAAGGTACGCCACCTCCAGCTGTCAACAGTGCAAAGACTTCATTGATATGGTTTATGAGCGGAGACCTGAGCTCCGTGGCTGATGGGAGAGTGGAAGGCAATAAGTGGTCAATGAGGAGATGGTATGAGGCTGACGGTTAGCACCACAGAAGGTCCAGAGGGACAATCCACTTCAGAACTTCAGGAGGGACAACTGATTCTACAAGGACAGGAGGGACCACCCACTCAAGAAGGTCTAGAAGGACAATCCATCCAGACTGGCAGAAGAGAAGAGTCGCTTCAGGAGTTCAAAAGGAACAATCCACTCCATAAGTTCATCAACTCCAGAACTCCAGGTAGGATGATCCACCCCAGAAGGTCAGAAGGGACCATTTACTCCAGAAGTCAAGGAGGGACGATCTTCTGGTGCGATCTGCTCCAGATGGTCAGGAGGGACTATTCGCTCTAGAACTCAAAGAAGGATCATTCATTCTGGGAGGTAAGGGGAGATGATCCACTCCAGAGGGCCAGAAGGGATGATCTGTTCCAAAAGTCCAGGAAAGACATTCTGAAACTGAATTTCAAGAGAGACCATCCCCTCCAGAAAGTTGAGATTGATCATCCAATTGAAAGGTTAGCAGCAACCATCTACTCAAGAAAGTCTGGAAAGACGATCTACCTGGACTGTCAATGATCCACCCCAGAAGGTCAGAAGGGACAACTTCTGGGATGATTTGCTCCAGACTGTCAGAGGGGACCATTCACTCCAGAACTCAAGGAAGGGTCATTCATTCTGGAAGGTTAAGAGAGATGATCTACCCCAGATTTTCAGGAATAGATTGCCGCTCCAGAGAGCCAGGAGTGATGAAGTGCTCCAAAACTCCATTATGAATGCTCCATAACATCAGGAGGGACCATTCACTCCAAGAGGGTCAGGAAGGACGCTCCACTCAAGACAATCATGGAATAAGGGTCCATTCCAGAGGTTCAGGAGGGACAATACACCTCAGAGGGTCAGTCGGGAGCATCCACTGCAGAACTCCAGGAGGGATGGTCTTCTCTGGAAAGACAGTCCACTCCAGAAGTCCAGGTGGGACCATTCACAACAGAACTCAGGGAATGATTATTCATTCCAGAATGTAAGGAGAGATGATCCACTCCAGATTTTTTAGGAATAAATTGCCACTTCAGGAAGGATGATGTGCTCCAAATCTCCAGGATGGATGAAATTCCCCATAACGTCAGGAGGGAGTATCCACTCCAGAGGGTCAGAAGGAATGATCTGCTTCAAAAGTCCAGAAAGGACAATCTTGAACTGATTCCAAGAGGGATCATTCCCTCCAGAAGGTCAGAAAAAATGTTCCACTCCAGTCTCCAGTCAGGGAATGAGGATTCATTCCAGAACTCCAGAGGCGACAATCCACTGTGGAAGGGCAATCCATTCCAGAAGTCCAAATGGGACAATGTTCCAAGACAATCCACTCCAGATGAGATGATCAACAGGAATGATCCATGCCAGAAGTACAGGTGGACATCATTCTGGGGCGATCCACTCCAGAAGTTAAAAAGGGATGATCATCAAATGATCCACGCCAGGAAGCACTTCAATGGAAATGTGAAGAGTCAAACTCCATGTAATGAAACACTGAGCTGAAGGATGACGTACAGACGGACGGGACCCTGTAAAGTACCGGAGGTCTTTCAGTCAGGACACACAGTCTTTTTTCAGACGTGGATAGTGGTCCAGTGTCATTTTGGATTTAGCGGCACAGACATAGATTAGCTCAAGAGAGTCCAGAGTGTGGATCAGTTAGTTTTGTGGTTGTAATCCAGTCTCTACAGGCTGAAACCAGTTGAGTCCTGATCCAAACAGGCCCAGACCAGTCTAAGGGTAGCTGGTCACTGCAGCTTGTTTCTGGGCTAGACGTCGCAGTTCCTCCCTGATAGCCTTTATAAGGGAGGCGGAGGTGTGGGCAGACGGTGAGGCGTCCTCTGGCGGGTACTCTGGAGTGGGTGAGGTCAGGAGGAGTGGTGGGGCTGACGGGTCCCGCAATGAGGAGCTGGGCATCTGGAAAACAGAGGAAGAGGAGAACTCAGGAAATGACAGCACCTGTAGGGAGAGGGGAGACAGGGACAAAGAGTGAGACCAGAAAATGAATCCGATAAAAGATATAGCAAAGAAATTGATTAACAACCAGCAGCCTCGGTGTGATTTAACAATGTGAAAGAAACTTATAAATCAACCAGTCCTGTACAAACTGGTCTGATTTTACTACTCCCCACAGTGGACTCACACTCTCTCTGCTGGCTCCTGGTCTGGACAAGTCTTGGTCTGAGTGCTGCTGGTTCCAGCTGGAGCCAGTGGGACCAGACATGCTGCGACCCACCCCAGGGTACGCCCCAATCTGACTGGACAAACCCACCTGAGTAAGGTGGTGGAGCTGTGCACCTGCAGGTCAACAGATGTAACAGATACAACAAATTAACGTCCACTCTGGAGGACAGAGTGCTGCTGAGTTTCAGGAGGCAGATGGACAACACACACTACTGATCTCATACATGTGGAATCATGTCAAACACAGCAGTGAAAGTCCTTAGTGCGCGCAGATGACTGTACCTGTGCTGCCCCCTACAGGTCGTGGTCTGGACGAGGAGGGGGGGTCCTCGTACTGCCCCCTGGTGGAGTACACCGACTCCTGCAGCTGGTCTCCAGTAGAAACATACCCTCCTGAGTTTAGGCCCTGCCTGAATAGAACACACAGAGTCAGTACTGGTTCTGGTCCAGATGACAGACCTGGACCTGGTTTTAGGTGTACCGACACTGACCTCTGCAGAAGACCCTGGACTGACGTGGGAGACATCCCCAGCTCTGCATACCTCTGCAGAAAGAGGGAGATAAGAAGAAAATGAAAACTGAACATGGACTCCTGAAGGACTGAAAATGTCCTCAGCTGCAGGACGACTGACTCACTGCAGAGAAGGGGCTGTGAGAGGGGGCAGCTGGGTAAGAGCCCCACTGCCTGCCCGGGGGGCGGGGTTGGGGGGAGGGGCTTGGCAGAGCAGGGCTTACCCCGCTCACCCCGGCGCTGCCCTGCGAGGACGGCGACACCAGGGCGAAGGCGTCGTCCAGAAGGGAGTGCATCTGCTGCCGCGCCTCCTCGATGGAGGGCTGGGGGGGCATGTAGGGCGGCGGGGCTGGGGCAGAGTCAAACACCTCATCAGTAGGAGAGGGGCTGCCATGGTCCGGGGGCAGGTCAGGGTCCGACTGATGAAGAGAGGAAAGAGAGAATACAGAACAGGTGTTAAGTGTGGTTCCGATCAGATATGGTTATTACAAAGGTGTTCCACAGGGTTCAGTACTGGGTCCTCTGTGATGTATGTTTATTCTCCAAATCTATGTCTGTTTTTATGGTGACGTCACTCTCTTGTATCCATCGACATTGTCTCAGACTACTCCTCTACCTCAGTACAGTCTGCTCCTGATGACCTCCTGACCTCTGATTTTACTTTAAACTATAAATCTATAAAAAAAGATGGACTGTTCATAATATGCAGAAACACATGATGGTCACAGACATCAGGGTTTGGTCAAATATTAAGGTTGCAGCTGCATCACCACAGCACACTAAAACCCCACAGTGTTCCTGTTTTAGCTCCTCATCGGATAACAAATCAAAAATTTTGCTCGGGTTCAGCCCACTCGACATACTGCTATGTTGTGCTATGGCCTATTCATGTGCTGGAATTTGTTATGTACGTGACAATTGAGTGTGTGTACAGTGCTGTGCTGCACTGCTGTGCCAGCCCCGTGTTTGACTGTGCATAACAGCAGTCTTTTAATGGTCATTTACACACTGTCCATTTCAGTAACTTTGTCAGATAACAAACTGCGTCGGGCTCGGGTCGGGTTTGGACTTAAAATCAGAAAGTCTGCCGGGTTTGGATCGGGGTTGTTTTAATTGTTTCGGACTTGGGTCGGGTTCGGTCAGGAAAATGCAGACTGAGCCACATTTTAGTGTGCTCACCTGTGAGTGTGTGTGTGTGTGTATGCACGTGTGTGTATTTAGTTAGTTTAATAAACAGACAAGGTATAGGCAGGAATGGTAACCTTAAATGACTTCTGTTGTGATGTTGTTGGGGGGGGGGCGGGTAGTGTTCCCCCTATATAATGGTAGGGGGAACACTATAAGTGAATCAAAGCTTTGTTTCTACTGAGGGAAATGGTTTCACTTTACAAGAATAAACAGGAGGTCTGCGTCGCTGTGTCGTGTAGTTACATTTCTGGCGAGGTGAATGTCTAAGGCGTAGGGTACAGTGTAGGGTATGGGTCTACACTGTTATCAAAAATTTATTCAAAATAAAATCAAAAGACAGGCTGACTTTAAAATCATTAATATACAATAAGAATAAAAAGGAACCAAAGCGCTACCCTGAGGAACTCCACCTTTAGTAGATACAAAATCAGACAACTACTAGCATGTAGGGCTGCCCCTGACCAAAGAATTTCTTGGTCGACCAGTAGTCGTCATTTAGGGCCATTAGTCGACTAATCGTCGCAGATAATGATTTCGGGGAGCAACAAGACAGTTTGAATTCCAGGGCTGAGATAGAATGTTAAGTAATATTGTTAACAGTTTGCTTGCTACATTACCGAGAAATAGGCCTACAAAGCAGTAATAATTAGCCTTTAAAATAGGTTATTATTTTTTACAAGCTCACACACAAAGCCAGCCGCCTGCTAATGAGACCTGCAGCAAAGCGGTAATGATTGTGATGTGTCAGAACAACCAGCAAGGAGAGGAGACTGAACATTTAATTGATTTTCAATTACAAAGTATAACTGTAGCATCTTACAGCCTCAGCGACTGAATAACTTATAAATTATGAGCCTTAAAACTATCAATTTTACAAGTGTGCGCAGCCGCGCACAAAGTCAGCCGCCTGTTAATGACACCGGCAAATTATTTCAGATTCTAATTCTGAATGCGTCAGAAAAATCAGCAAGGAGACTGTCGGAACATTCTGATTATTTATTTCAACAAACCACACAGCTTCTGAACTTGATGCAACACAATAACTTTGTAAAAAAACAAACATACAAATTAAATATATTTTTGTTTCTTTTTAAAATGTAGATAACGAATAAATAGCTCTACAACAATCTAAAACAATTAAAAGAAAAATATAGGCTGTCATTCCAAAAATAAACAGAACAACGGAGAAGTAGCCTCAACGTGAAATAAAAACTTAAATTAGGTCAGAATGCAAATAAAATAAGCAAAAATGAATAAATAGGCATTCAGCAATCAGTGCAAATAAACAGACCAATGGAGAAGTATAGCCTTAAAATGAAATAAAACTTCAATTAGGTCACAATGGAAATAAAATAGGCAAAATGAATAAACGAATAATTAAGTATTAAGCAAACTGAAACACTTAAGATAGCCTAATTGTCAGTGCAAATAAACAGAGAATTAGCCTCAACATAAATGAAAACTCAACTTTACATTTTTTTCTGAAGTCAGAACGCAAATGAAAATGTAGGCTAAATCACACATTTCATTTCACGCAACCACCTTACTCACAGTTTTATCCCCTGGCTCTCAGTTAGCTTTCTCATATTATGAGAAAGGAACACAAGTTTATCCACGTTGTCGGGGAGAAGTGAGCTCCGTGTCTTATTCACAATGAAGCCGGCCTTGGAGAAGATGCGCTCCAATGGCGTGGACGTGGATGGGATGGAGTGCACACACTTGGCTGCTCTGGCCAGCTTGGGAAAGCAGTCCTCATTTTTTTGCCACCATGTTAGCGGTCCCGAATCAACTTTTGTTCTGTCCTCCAAGTATTGTTTCATTTCATTGTTCCGTCCTTCTGTCTGCTGCTCTTCGTCTGTAGCCATAGCCATCAAGATGGATATCTCCTCCTGCTTTTCCCGCTTCTTTTTTGGTGCAAGACTGGGCTCACTTTCATCTCCACTGCTGTCCCTGTCCTCTCTCTGAGCATCAGCTTCTTCTGGTGGAGATAAACTCTCAGCCAAATCCGACACCGTCGTGTAAGCCTTGTCCCGTTTCTCTACCTCGAGGAATGACAGGCTTTTGAATCGTGGATCCAAGACAGCAGCTTGGATGTAAATGCTAGTCTCGATATTCCCTCTGAGCTCCCATCTCGTGTCAATTTCTTCAGTGAGCGTTTTCTTCAGTGCGGTCACAGTCGTGCTGTCATCATCGTGCAGCAACAGGTGGCGTCTTTTCATGTTTATGAGCATGGGCAGCGTGGCAGACAGAGACGCATTAACATCCTGTGAAAGCAGCTCCGTGAGTGTGACCATCGGCTTCATCACCGAGACGATGTCCTCCGCTATCCTCCAATGGGCCGTGGTGAGATCCAGATCGCAGTCAGACCGGTGGGTAGTACCGGGGTCGGAAAGCACGGCTGTGACCGGCCACCTCTGTTCCAGGAGACGCTCCAGTATTAAGTAAGTGGAGTTCCAGCGTGTGGAGACATCCTGGATGAGTTTGTGTTCAGCCACTTTCTGTTGTTTTTGTTTGTCAGTAAGAGCTGCTGTAGCCTTGGCACTTTTCTTGAAATGTCCCACAAGACGTCTGGCAGCTGCAATGACTCGGCAGATTAGATCTTTTTTAAGAGCCGCATTTATGCACAGCTGCAAAGTGTGCCCCGCACCGCGAACTCCCTGGACATTACCCCAGGACGGGTTATGAGATAGCTGATCCGCGCACAACACCATGTTCGCAGCATTGTCATGTACAACAGCGGCCCTCTTTTCTGCAGGGATCCTAAAGTCTGCCATTACCTGGCTGAGTCGCTCTGCTATGTTAGCAGCTGTGTGGCTCACCTCCAAAACTTTCATTTCCAGCACAAATGAATGCAGTCGCCAGTCGTCAGAAATGAAATGTGCAGAGACTGTCATGTAACTCTCCATCTGGTTAGATGTCCAGATGTTCGTTGTAAAGCTGAGTGCTGTACAGCTTTTAATCTTGTCCAGAATCGCTTCTTTCATAGTGTTGTATTTGGTAGTAATCGCTTGCATTACAGCTTCACGTTTAGGAAGGCTGTATCCTGGCTCTAGGAATTCAATCAATTGTCTAAAACCTTCACCGCTGACAATATTTACTGGTCTCATGTCGAGCGCAATGANTTTACATTTTTTTCTGAAGTCAGAACGCAAATGAAAATGTAGGCTAAATCACACATTTCATTTCACGCAACCACCTTACTCACAGTTTTATCCCCTGGCTCTCAGTTAGCTTTCTCATATTATGAGAAAGGAACACAAGTTTATCCACGTTGTCGGGGAGAAGTGAGCTCCGTGTCTTATTCACAATGAAGCCGGCCTTGGAGAAGATGCGCTCCAATGGCGTGGACGTGGATGGGATGGAGTGCACACACTTGGCTGCTCTGGCCAGCTTGGGAAAGCAGTCCTCATTTTTTTGCCACCATGTTAGCGGTCCCGAATCAACTTTTGTTCTGTCCTCCAAGTATTGTTTCATTTCATTGTTCCGTCCTTCTGTCTGCTGCTCTTCGTCTGTAGCCATAGCCATCAAGATGGATATCTCCTCCTGCTTTTCCCGCTTCTTTTTTGGTGCAAGACTGGGCTCACTTTCATCTCCACTGCTGTCCCTGTCCTCTCTCTGAGCATCAGCTTCTTCTGGTGGAGATAAACTCTCAGCCAAATCCGACACCGTCGTGTAAGCCTTGTCCCGTTTCTCTACCTCGAGGAATGACAGGCTTTTGAATCGTGGATCCAAGACAGCAGCTTGGATGTAAATGCTAGTCTCGATATTCCCTCTGAGCTCCCATCTCGTGTCAATTTCTTCAGTGAGCGTTTTCTTCAGTGCGGTCACAGTCGTGCTGTCATCATCGTGCAGCAACAGGTGGCGTCTTTTCATGTTTATGAGCATGGGCAGCGTGGCAGACAGAGACGCATTAACATCCTGTGAAAGCAGCTCCGTGAGTGTGACCATCGGCTTCATCACCGAGACGATGTCCTCCGCTATCCTCCAATGGGCCGTGGTGAGATCCAGATCGCAGTCAGACCGGTGGGTAGTACCGGGGTCGGAAAGCACGGCTGTGACCGGCCACCTCTGTTCCAGGAGACGCTCCAGTATTAAGTAAGTGGAGTTCCAGCGTGTGGAGACATCCTGGATGAGTTTGTGTTCAGCCACTTTCTGTTGTTTTTGTTTGTCAGTAAGAGCTGCTGTAGCCTTGGCACTTTTCTTGAAATGTCCCACAAGACGTCTGGCAGCTGCAATGACTCGGCAGATTAGATCTTTTTTAAGAGCCGCATTTATGCACAGCTGCAAAGTGTGCCCCGCACCGCGAACTCCCTGGACATTACCCCAGGACGGGTTATGAGATAGCTGATCCGCGCACAACACCATGTTCGCAGCATTGTCATGTACAACAGCGGCCCTCTTTTCTGCAGGGATCCTAAAGTCTGCCATTACCTGGCTGAGTCGCTCTGCTATGTTAGCAGCTGTGTGGCTCACCTCCAAAACTTTCATTTCCAGCACAAATGAATGCAGTCGCCAGTCGTCAGAAATGAAATGTGCAGAGACTGTCATGTAACTCTCCATCTGGTTAGATGTCCAGATGTTCGTTGTAAAGCTGAGTGCTGTACAGCTTTTAATCTTGTCCAGAATCGCTTCTTTCATAGTGTTGTATTTGGTAGTAATCGCTTGCATTACAGCTTCACGTTTAGGAAGGCTGTATCCTGGCTCTAGGAATTCAATCAATTGTCTAAAACCTTCACCGCTGACAATATTTACTGGTCTCATGTCGAGCGCAATGAAATCCGCTATTTTTAACGTTATATCTCTCTTCCTTTTTTCGGAAAGAGGGGGTTTCATAACAAGCTTTTGCTGTGTCAATGCTGAAGTGGAGGGTGCCGTGTCATCTCCGCAGTAAAGTGGATGCGCCTGTAGAGAGAGCTGGATAATTTAGCTTCCCCAGTAAGCCTATACTAGCGCATGACAATATTAAAATGTATTATTTATCTCGGCTTTCAAATGTTAGGGCGGCCATGCTAGGCAAGTAGCTACTTACATGTTTTAGATGATACATCATGTTCGTCGTTGACGAATGATAGGCGAAGGTCTGTTTGCAGAGTTTGCATGTTACCTTCTTGGGGTCGTCCTTTTTCTTTTCAAAATGATCCCAGATTTTAGATTTCTTGCCCGACATTATATCATCAGTTACTGTCTACAATCGCGATATTGCAGGGACTAGCCGTGTAAAAAAACTGACCGTGAGTGTAACAACTTCCTGTATCTGGCCCTTCAAATTAAAGGCCCTCTAGCTTTTCATTTTTTTTTCTTTGACCAGTCAACCAATGAAATTTAGGTCGACTAATGACTTCTTGGTCGACTAACGCTAGGTCGACTATTTGGGGGCAGCCCTACTAGCATGTGATCTGATACTGAAGTTCCGTGGCAAGAACCCTGACAGTTATAAACATGTTCACGGTCACTGACCTGTGTTTGATGAGATTTCACTGCACGATTAAAACTAATTCGAAGGTTGTTGAGAAAACTTTCACTCTTGTGACTCTGACTCACATCCGCCTCACTTTACTCTGAATAAGGAGTAAAACCTATTCTCTGTGTGTCTAGGGACAAACAGAAAGTCCCTGAAGGTTGAGAAAAACTGATCTGATGGATGAGACTGAATCTACAGAGGGTTTATGATTCCTGTCCATCCTGAGTCTCAGCAGGCGACAGATCTGAGCTGACTCACCATGTAGGCCACGTTGTTGAGTCCTGGGTACTTCCTGTAGGTGGCGCTGTGATCGGTGAGCAGCCGGTCTCTGTCTGTATCAGGAAGACTTCCAGGTCCTGGCTGAGTCCGCCGACCCCGCGGAGAGCGCCTCCCTCTGGGACACAGAAATAACCATAATAGGTTTATGAATGAATGTTGTAAATAATAAAAAATAAACAAAATGATTCTGCCGACGACTGTCAAATCATTCTGACCTCCTCCTGGAGTCGGTGGGGGTCGGGGGTGAGTGGGCGTCGGCCTGCAGGATGCAGTCCATGTGGTCGTGGGCGGAGCTATAGAGACGCTGGGCCACCTCGCTCTGCACTGGTCCATCCCCAAAAGCATCCATGATGTCGTCCATGGAGGGAAACTCACACTGACCCCGCCTCTTGGCGCGCTGCCGCAGTTTGTTCCTGTGATGTTCGATCTCCGACTTATGTCTCAGCGCCACCTGCAGGACCAACACAGGAGGGTTGATGATGTCAGACAGGTTTTAAACGTCACGACAGGCGGCAAGGGTGTTATTTGTATTCCTGAGCCTCTCACCTCCGTGCTGACCTTCTCTGTCAGCGAGGGGCTCGGATGGGGCGGGGCATGCAGCGGCGGTGGGCTTGGTCGCGGCTGCATGGCGATCAGCTGCACCTTGTTAGCCTGGCGACGTGTGCCGTCAGAGGAGCCACGAGAGAGGCGGTCAACGTGGTCAAAGATGGAGGATGAGGACAGAAGCTCATCCGGAGCGCTGCCTGATGGAGTGACACAGGAAACAAAGTTTGTGTTACTGTGGCGACGCTCTGAGTCTGATCAGCTGATCGTCTCTGCTTGATCTCAGATCGATCACTGACAAGAAGTTATTGATTAGAGCAGCTTTTATGTGTCAGACAGGAAGGGATGTCATAAACATACCCATCTTGTTCCTCCCTTCATCCAGTAGCATCAAAGAGAAAAAAAACAGATGTTTGATTACAAATGAACCTGAACTTTGTTTCCCTCCTCTTCCTCCTCATCCTCCTCTTCCTCTCGTTGATTTGTTTTAATGAATCCTAATTAAATTAAACTTCCTGTCGACACACTGACTCTAACGCTCCACTGCAACACACACACACACACACACACACACATCAAACAGTTCAGCTGATGATGTCACTGTGTCTCTGACCATTTTTGGGCGTCTTCCTGTGCTGTTTCCCCTCACTGGGCGTGGCCACGGGGCGGGTGCTCTCCTCTGCCGATTCTCTGCCACTTGATTGGTCGCTGCCTAACGAGTCGCCGTCTGATGGGCTGAGCCTGACAAGAAGGAATAATCACAGTCTGAGGCCAAATAAGCGCCAGCATTTTTGTAAAATAAAAACAATTTTGAAATTTAAGAATATTTGTAGACATTTCTGGAAATTCAGTTTTGGACGTTTCTGGAAAAAAAAAAACATTTTTGAAACTTTGAACATTTGCCGCCATTTTTAAAAGTACATTTTTGCAGGTGGGGTTAAACATGCAAACTTCTGACCTGCCCCTGCGTCGGCTGGACCGTGCCACCTTGGTGGATGACCCTTTGGATTTGGGGGTGTTTAGGTCTCCGCCGTCAGAAGGCGTGGCCTCTTTGACGGGGGCAGGCAGTTGGCCGGGCTCCTGGATGACCATGATGTCGTCCTTGCTGTGCTGACCCAGGTGGAGTTTGGCGAAGTCGAAGCCTTTGACACTCGGAGCCTGGAGCTGAGAGAGGACACACGATCAGCTGTTTGTGTGGACGACAGGAAGGAGTTAACCACTTCCTGTTGACCTCTGACCTTCTGCCTCTGCTGGATGGTGTTGATGGCATCTGGCTGGAACTCAAGCTTCTCAGAGCCGCACAGCTTCCAGTAGAGGATGATGATGATGAAGACGGCCAGCAGGACGGGGACGACCACGCCAACGATCAGCCAGATGCTGCTGCTCTGAGTCTCTGCTGGGGGGACGGACAGGGTGTCCACAGCTGAGGACAGGTGCGACACGGGTAGGAGACAGGTGAGACAGGGGAGACAGGTGAGACACAGGTGAGGTTAGATTCAGGTCTTGACTTACGTTGTGCGAGTGGTCTCTGGACTCGGTGTCCGAGGACAATGGCGGCTCTCTGCAGGTCCAGACGGTTCAGGGTGATGGCCGTGGCCTCGGCAGGTATCCGCTCACCACCTGGACCTTCTACGAAATAATATACCTCCAGGGGGCGCTCCGACCCCAACAGCCTCGCCACCCGCACCACCTGAGACACCACAGGTGAGACAGAATTATTATTCATTTACATTTCAAACTCTGATACATCACAAATCCAGAATTCTTCAGTTTGATTTGAACTTGGTCTAAACTTGGTTTCACTTGGCTGCTAGTTCATTCCTAGCTGGCCAGCATTGCAAATCACCGCAACCAGGGAGCGGGTAGCGAGTGTTGCTCGGCTGACATCCTGGTTGCCATTCTACGGCAGCCCTCGGACAGTGATACCCCCCTCCCTTCCTTCTGTTCTCTTCTCACGGAGGCAGCTATCCACGGACATCGCCCAGCTAAGTTACGCCCAGCTAAGTGAACACTGGACTTTGTTTCCCATTCAATTTGAGCTCCAACCGGCCGCATGGTTTCCATACGGTAGCGTTTATTCTAGAATGGGGACTGTTTACATGTGCATATTGGTATAATTCCACTGTGTCTACTGTTGTTTGTACTGATACTGTACATATTGGTATCATTTACTGTGAG